CTCCCAGGGGGGCCAGGCCTCAGCTAACCGGTACCGGCTGGCGACTCAGGGGGCAGCCCACAGCTTCTTCAGGGGTGGGAGGGGCTGTGCTGTCCAGCCCCAGCCTACCTCTCCTCTAGGGTCAGAGGGAGTGAGGGCTGCACTGCTCAGCCCTGGCCTCTTCCTGGGGGGAGAGAAGGGAAGGGGCGGGGCTGACTGGCCCATGTCTCCTCTGCCGGGGCCGGGTGTGGACTGTGCTGCCCAGCCCCGGCCTGCACTGGCTGGCAGCTCTTCCCCAGGAGGTGGATCCTCCTTCACTGCAGCCAAGGGAAAGGAAGAGGGGCTTGGAGAGGGGGCACTTACCCATGGTTAGCAATATGGAGAGCTTTTGCCCCAGCTGGCCTCTCTTCCTAGTGCGGTTGCCTCCTATGGTCACTCTGCAGTATAACCGTCCCCTGCGCTTGGTGGCAGTAGTCATTGCAGAGCATAACTGTCCTTGCTTTCAGACCCCTTCTTTTCTGTGGTATGGAAAACAATCCCATTCCAGGCACTTCCTGTTTTCCTGGCACAACCAAACCTTGACTTTACGTTAAAATGAGAGGAAGCTGCATATCAAATTTTTAGTGGTCCTAGATCTTATTGTTTAGGAGGAGTTGTTGAACAAATGGACTCACAGATGGATGGACTCACAGAGGGACACACACACAAATACAGAAACTCTATAAAACAGGGGTTGGCAACCTTTTCAAACCAAAGAGCCAAACTACATTAAAATTCAGAACAAGTGTTCAACAAAGAGCAATATAAGAATCCCCATTTGCGTGATTAAAAATATACAACTTAATATTAGTGATAACTGACATGATCGTAGAATCATAGAATACTAGGACTGGAAGGGACCTCGAGAGGTCATTGAGTTCTGTCCCCTGCCTTCATGGCAGGGCTCAGCACTGTCTAGACCATCCCTGATATGATGATTAATAATAGCATAAATGACACATTGTTTGTACTAAGAGTCATTATTTGATGGGACTTCTGCTGCTGCATCTTTTCACACATTTCTTTGAAGTTATTATCATAACTGGTCAAATTCACGTTCATGCATGCATTCAAGCGACATGAGTAATTGCACATTTTGTAAATGTTGAATTAAATATTCATTTTAATTTTAAAAACTGTGTGTATTTTGGGAATGACAAAAGAGCCATATTTGGCTCCATACTGAGCCATATTTGTCTCAAGAACCATAGGTTGAAGACCTATGCTCTAATATATAGTGAGAAATAAGTTCATCTACATAGCTTTTACCAGTCTAGAAATGTTATTTTAAAAAAATCAATCCTGAAACAACACTACTATACTGGCATAAATTGCTAACAAAGAACCAACTTTGGTGGCTACTGCAAATGCTACATTCATAGGCAGGATGCCAAACTTGCATCCTTTGTATTCACAGTATAGATACAATTTAATAGAACGCTGAGCAAAACCTCTTGCCTAAATTATCATAACTAGAAGCTTATTTGTATTTTGAAAAAGTCATCCTGAGTTTTAAATTAATGACTAAGAACCACTGAAAATACAATGACCTATTCTAATCATGCGCACAGTTCCATGGTGTGGAGCTGTTGTCTCCTAGTGAACTGAAGAGACTGAGATTAAAACCCCAGTCTCTCTCAGACATTTATTAACTGCAAAGAGATTCTCAAGAAATCACTGCTATCCTCAGCAAGTTGTACCAATGTTTCTAAAGATGCTTAGAATCCAGTGGCCCCCAAATGATCTCTTTGAACCTTATTAGTAATTATCACATATTATGGCATTGTGGCAGTGTCAACGAGCCCCAGTCATGGACTGGAGCCCCACTGGGCTAGGCACCACATAAACAGAACAAAAAGATAGTCCCAGCTTCAAAGAGCTTAAGCTTTAATTCCAAAAAAAGCAGTGTCTTAATAACAATGATCCAAACTGTAACCTAGTATAAACAAGGAGGCTACGTCTACACTGGCCCCTTTTTCCGGAGGGGCATGTAAATTTTATTTTAAGTAAGAAAAATTTAAATATCCCCCGCGGCATTTAAATAAAATGGCCCGCCGCTTTTTTCCGGCTTTTAAAAAAGCCGGAAAAGAGCGTCTAGACTGGCCCCGATCCTCCGGAAAAAGTGCCCTTTTCCGGAGGGTCTTATTCCTACTTCAAAGGAAATTTACATGCCCCTTCCGGAAAAGGGGCCAGTGTAGACGTAGCCGGACAGTTCCTGTAACTTCAACAGAATGTATCAGGTATCTGGCCAGGTGGCTTTTCTAAAGTAAACACCCTTCAAAGTTCAACAGTTATTTAGAAAAACATCAAAATAACAGAATCTCTGCAATGAAATTAAGTAGATAATAAATATTCAAGTTTTACTGTACATACACTGACTGATGCAAATATAAAAAAGATCGTAAAGTGGTGTTTTACTAAATTAGATATAGCTCTGAAATGCATCACTCTCTAAACACTCAGGGTATGTCTAAACTACCCCCCTAGTTCGAACTAGGGGGGGTAATGTAGTCATACGGAGTTGCAAATGAAGCCTGGGATTTGAATTTCCCGGGCTTCATTTGCATAAAGCCGGCCGGCGCCATTTTTAAATGCCGGCTAGGTCGGACCCCGTGCCGCACGGCTACACGCGGCACGGACTAGCTAGTTCGGATTAGGCTTCCTCGTTCCTAATCCGAACTAGCTAGTCCGTGCCGCGTGTAGCCGTGCGGCACGGGGTCCGACCTAGCCGGCATTTAAAAATGGCGCCGGCCGGCTTTATGCAAATGAAGCCCGGGATTTGAATTTCCCGGGCTTCATTTGCAACTCCGTATGACTACATTACCCCCCTAGTTCGAACTAGGGGGGTAGTGTAGACATACCCTAAAGGAGGAAGCAACCAGGAGGCAAAAATACAAATTACACAATAGTGCCAGGAGGTAAAATTCTCACAAAGTATACAGCATATACTCCCTACCCTGATGAAAAACATCACAAGATTTTCCATAGCCACACAAAGGCCATGTCTACACTGGCGGCTCCTTGCGCAAGAAAGCGTCCACACTGGCACCCTTGCCCCCCCGCCCCGCCGTTCCAGCCGTGGTGCCGGAGGAGGACCCTGGCCACCAGTGTCCCCTCACAGCCATCAACAAGGCTGTGGGCCAGCTTGCACCAGGGAGCCACGCCGTTCCAGCGGGAGCTGGAGACCGGGCAGCAGCTGCAGGCCCTCCCTTGTGATCAATGCCGAAGCTGTACTCAGGCCTCCCACCATCACCACTGACAGGCACCTGTGGAGACACCACACAAGCCGGGACTGGTGGGAGCGGCTGGTGCTGGGACAATGGGGCGACCAGCACTGGGTGCAGAACTTCCAGATGCGCAGGGGGACATTCCACGAGCTCTGCACCTGGCTCACTCCTGCGCTCCGGACCTCCGCCTGTACTCCACCATCCCCATGGACAAAAGGGTTGTGATCGCCCTCTGAAAACTGGCCATCCCGGACAGGTACCACTCTGTGGGGAACAGTTTGGGGTGGGCAGGTCCACCATTGGCGTGGTCATCCAGCAGGTAAGGCCCCCGAGGGCCCGGGGGCCTGCCCCGAGGGAAGGATGGGGCCAGGCCGGGAGGCGGGCCTGTGGGGGTGAGGGGAAGCCCCGCACCCAGCGGGTCACGCCATCCCTCCCTCAAGTAGCCCCGCTGGCAGGGCGGGAATCCCCGGGGGAGTGGGCCCTGACATACGAGGGGGGAGAAGGTATCGGAGGGGGATGGGCACACCTCAAGGGCCCCTGTACCCACAGTGTCTCATTCTGTGCATTCCCTGTGCTCCCATGTGCCCCTGTGCAGGTCATCCGCGCCATCAATGACATCCTGCTCCAGAGAGTCATCCGCCCCTGTGACCTGGGGCTTCACCGCCCTGGGGTTCCTAAACTGTGGGAGAGCTGTAGACGGGACCTACATCCCGATTCAGGCACTGGAGCATCGAGTGGCCTGATTCATCAACCGCAAGGGCTACTGCTTGGTGGTGCTCCAGGCCTTCGTGGACCACCGGGGTCACTTCTAAGACATTTATGTGGGGTGGTCCAGCCGAGCCCACGCATATTCCAGCATTCGGGCCTGGGCCTGGACCACAGGCTGGAGGCGGGGACCTACTTCTCCCAGCAGGACCTCGCTATCCCGGCCATCAGCATGCCAGTGTGCATCTTGGGGGACGTGGCTACCCCTTGATGGTCTGGCTCATGCAGCCGTACACAGGCTGACTGGACCACAA